ATTTTCAAAGAGAGCATGAGTGGGGTAGGGGCAGAGAGAGAGAGAGAGGGAGAGAGAGAGGGAGGGAGGGAGGGAGGGAGGGAGGGAGGGAGAGAACCCCAAGCAAGCTCAGAGCCCAATGCATGCGGGGCTCAATCCCATGATCCATGAGATCATGACCTGAGCCAAAATCAAGAGTCGGCCGCTTAACCAACTGAGCCACTCAGGCGCCCCTAGGCTTTTGAGTTCTTTATTACTACCCCATATTGCTGCCACTTCTTTAAACCCTACGGTATTAAGTATGATTCTGTGCACAAAGCAAACACAGCAGTGTGTACAATAATCATGACAGCTTTTGCCATATTGTATTGCACCTGCAGAATAGAATAATGGCCAGATACTTATCATCCAAGTAGACTAATTCTACAGGTATTTATAAATATAAAGTGCAATACCGATGTGAGATCAACTATAAATATAATTATCAACGTTAACTGGAATTCCACAAGTCTAGGTTGCCTTAGATTATCACAGATTAGATTAAAATACTGTCAAGATTATTTCTAAGGAAGTCCCACCTGCAAGAATGCTTTAGAACAACATTAACCCATGTACTGTAAACCTTTGTGGAAGTTACAGTTTAAAATTATATTATTTCATAATATTTCACTCTCTAATTGTCGTCTATCAAGTATAAGGTAAGGGACCACCCTAAACAAAATGGTGATGAATGTCTTGAGCACACTCTCCTCTTTTCTTTTATTATCTTTCTTTTTACCTTCAGATATACTTTACCAGAAACCCCAACCCTTCCTCCTTTGCTTCCCTCTGTTCTATAAGAAACTCTTAGCCAGGGGCTCCACGATAATACATCTAATTGACAACTTTATACTTTGGTGTGTGTGTGTGTGTGTGTGTGTGTGTGTATGTTTTAAGAGCAAGTTATTGAGGTATCGAATCATAACCCATGGGATAAATTCCTAATGGGAACATTTCAGAAACAAGTGATAAGCCTGTTACAGAGATATCGAAGCAAAGAATATCACACTGGTGGCCTTTGATTTAGGTGACAATTAGTTTCTCCAGCTGATAAGGCCAATCATAGATGGTAATGAATGATCTTGAAGGCACAATCTGTGTCAGTGCGTCTAATAGCTATAAAGTCTTCTATCCCAATAATTCACTACAAGGAGTTCCACCACAAAGTGCACTGCTTTTGTGTATAGTTACCCTTCTCCCCACTCTACGACTTTCTTTCATGTCATGATCATGCCTTCTACTCTCTCCTATCACCCACATAAAACAACAGGGGCAGAGACGAGTCACTTAAGAGTAGACGAGCAAGAACTCCTGTGTCTAAGCTAAGAAATGGTTCTGAATTTATACTCTCAAGGACTTGCTGAATACTCCTACTCAAGTGATTAAGTATATTAAGGCCTGGATTTCATTCTCTCGTTAATGAAGGAGTAAAATAAAATGACCCTAAAATTCCAACACCTCTAGAATTCTGTGGTTCTGTAATACGTGGTATTATTCCACATAAAGATGAAACCCTAGCCAGAGAAATATAGTACACTCTTCATTAAGTAAAAGTCACATTTAACTAAAATTTCCTGTTTTAATAGTTAATGAACTAAAAGATACTGGGAATGCGTTAAAACTCCTAGTATAATTCACAAAGAAGTGTGGAAGACTCACAATGTGTCTGGTAAAAATACATCTAGGTGAATAACCAAATGAAAAACAGTCATTAGATGATCAATATTCACCCAGAGCAGTGTTTTCCAAATTGTACCGCAAAGATACAATTTGTTAGTAAGAACTGCTTTTAAACAGGAGGTGGGCCTTTGAGGGTCAGCTAGACTTAATGACTTGCTGCTGCCCAAGAACAGAATGATAATAATTATTTATTCCTATAATGGGAATCTAGAAATAATAATTTTACAGTGGGGAAACCCTGGGTACTATTAATTAACCAAATGACCAAGGTTAGAGTCACAAGCGATGGCTCACGGTACACTGTGCCTTTAAATTTTGCATCATAAGTGCCCGCCTACCACATCCTAGTATCAAGTCCTCTGATTGGTCACGCCTTCAAAGCCCTCTCCCCACATCGAACAATAATAGTTCCTTGTGCAACTGCTGCTTTGTTACTGCAGCCTGGCAACATAGTCCCTTGGTCAAGAGCCTGACGAGAGAGAGGCCTCGGACCACATCCTCTTCTACCTCTAGGTAGGCAAGAGGCCAATACCAATCTCACCCTTACTCAACAATGGCCTGGGCTCCAGAGAAAAGGCCAGAGCCTAATCCAAAAGAGTTCAGAGCCGGCCGGGACGGCAGGGGTGGTGCCCATGGCGGCGGCAGTGGCGGTGGCCGTGGAAGCGGCAGTGGCGGTGGTGGTGGCGGTGGTGGTGGCGGTGGCGGCGGCGGCGGCGGCGGCGGCGGCGGCGGCGGCGGTGGCAGAGGCCGAGGCCGAGACCAAGAGAGAGGCAGGGGCGGAAGCGGCAGGGGCGGGAGCGGCAGGGGCGGGAGCGACAACATGCAGGCCCACCGCCCTGGAGAACCACCTCTGTGCTTTAAATTAAACAACAACATGATTGGTATGGTGATTGGTCGTGGTGGGTCAAAGATAAAAGACCTCCAGAGTACGACAAACACCAAAATACAGATCATAAGAGGTGATTTTGAAGCAGAGGTGAAAATTTTTGGTGCCAAGGATATGAAAGCAAAGGCCAGGGCGGCTATAGAAACTCTCATTAAAAAGCAAGAACGAAGCTACACTGCAGAATCCAGTGTTGATAATGCTGTCCCTCAGCCCCCTGTGGGAAGAGATTTTCGCGCAGATACCACTGGTAGACAAGTTCAGCCCCTGATAGATTGGGATCAAGTCAGGGCGGAAGTCGTGGAGTGGGAAAAAAGAAAATGGGCAGATTTACCACCAATTAAGAAAAATTTTTACAAAGAAACCAAAGCAACACAGTCAATGTCTCAAGTCCAGGTAGATATGTGGAGAAAGGAAAATTTTGACATAACGTGTGATGACTTGAAAGATGGTGACAAGCGTCCCATCCCCAATCCCACCTGTCAATTTGAAGATGCTTTCCAGCCCTATCCTGAGCTTGTGAAAATCCTGAAAAGAGCTGGTTTCCAAAAGCCAACGCCAATTCAGTCACAGGCATGGCCAGTCATCTTGCAGGGCATAGATCTTATAGGAGTTGCCCAAACTGGAACAGGCAAAACTTTGTCCTATTTAATGCCTGGGTTTATTCATCTCAATAATCAACCAGTATCCAGAGAGGAGAGGAATGGACCTGGCATGCTGGTCCTTACACCCACTAGAGAATTAGCTCTTCAGATAGAAGCTGAATGCTCTAAGTATTCGTATAAAGGTTTTAAAAGTGTTTGCATTTATGGTGGTGGGAAAAGACATCAACAAATACAAGACCTCACCAAAGGCATAGACATCATTATTGCAACTCCTGGACGACTGAATGACCTGCAAATGAATAACTTTGTCAACCTACGAAGCATAACCTACTTAGTCTTAGATGAAGCAGATAAAATGCTAGATCTGGGGTTTGAACACCAGATAATGAAGATTTTATTAGATGTGCGCCCAGACCGCCAGACCATTATGACAAGTGCCACCTGGCCAGATACCATTCGTCGACTTGCTCAATCTTATCTGAAAGAGCCTATGATTATTTATGTTGGCACTCTGGATCTAGCGACTGTAAATACAGTGAAGCAGAATGTCATTGTTACCACAGAAGAAGAAAAACGATCTCTTATCCAACAATTCCTCGAGAACCTATTACCTCACGACAAAGTTATCATCTTTGTGAGCAGAAAACTTGTCGCCGATGACTTATCCAGTGATTTAAGCATACAACGTATCCCTGTAGAATCACTGCATGGCGACAGAGAACAACATGATCGTGAACAAGCACTACAGGACTTTAAAACCGGAAAAGTGAAAATATTGATTGCTACCGATTTAGCATCCCGAGGTCTTGATGTTAATGATGTCACACATGTGTATAATTACGACTTCCCACGCAATATCGAAGAATATGTACACAGAGTGGGGCGCACTGGAAGAGCAGGGAAGACTGGCACGTCAATTACGCTCATGACTCAAAATGATTGGAAGATTGCCAGTGAAGTGATTAAAATTCTGAACCGAGCAAATCAGAGTGTCCCCGAAGATCTTGTAACAATGGCCGAGCAATACAACTTACATAATCAAAAAAAGGAGACAGGAAAGAAATCAAAATCTCGTGAAAAACCCAAGAAGTTTTGGTGATGTCTACGCTGTAAAGTTGAAGTACACTACCTGAAGATTGAAGATATGTTTAAGATCTATAATATTCAAGAGCCGTCAAGAAGTTTTAGAAACATATTAACAACTTAAGGACATTCACCCAGTTCTTAAATACAAGTCTTCAACGTTGTGTATGTTCCTTAATAAAATCAAAAGTGTTTGAAAAATGAAAGAGTGAGAAATTATGTGGGAAAAAATTAAATGTTACGTGTTGGTTAAAGTCTAGTTTCTTTTTATAGCCTGCCATGTCCATTTGTGTCTTCTCTAAAAGACTGGGAGCAGACAACAATGGTGCTTTTCTTGCTTTACAAAGCTGCACTGAATTGAAACATAATTTTCATCAAGTTTATCCTGGTCAAAATAGTCTATTTTCCCCCAGTGGTTGGTTCGACAACAATCCCTAAAAATATCTCCACTGTCATTCCCCAATTAAAAAAGAAAAAATCGTTAGAAAATAAATGCCCAGTCTTCTAGAAGATACCACAATTCTGTTTTCTCAGCTAGATGTGACCGACAGCAATGGTGTCTGGTTCAATGGGAATCAGATCCTCATCACTAACCTTTGGTTAAAACTTCCGTGGAGGTCATTTACCTTCTGAAGTTTTCACTTTCTTCACTAATAAATTGGGATGGTTGTATTAAATAATTTTGGGGTCCCCTTCACCTCTAAATTCTATATTATAACCAAACTTGTATAACTCAGCCTTTACGAACACTTTATTTTCTAACCTAGGAAGAAAACCACATCCTTGTGTAACAAAGTGAAACAATGAAACCCTTTTAAATGGCCAGAATAGTGTATTCTGCATTTTTATTGATTTTTGAAATGTGACTCACAGGTTATTTGCTTTTCATCATATTTTATTTTTCAATTTCTCTTGAAAAGGTCAAAACTTCATTTACACATGAGAAAAATTAATGTGAAAGAAAAATATATACTGGGAAAGACATTAAAAACTCAACCAAATGACACTTTTGCCATAGGAACCCATTTAAAAATTTTTTTTCATTTTATTTATTAGAGAGAGCGAGTGAGTGGGAGAGGGGAAGGGGTAGAGAGAGAGTGTGTGAGAGTGTGAGGGGGTGGGGGGGAGGGGGGAAGAGGGGGAGGGGGGAAGAGGG